AGATTTTCTTTTGTAATTGAAATGAAGATAAAAAGTAGAAGTTTATTTTTATTGTACGATTAGTGAATGAAAATTGTTAACAATTAGAGGATTTACATATATGTGGAATAATGCAGAGCGTTAAGATATTATAGCGACCTAGTGGCTAAAAAGTTCCAAAATTTTGTGGGAGGAATCCTTGCATATATTTACATCATATTGCAAGCTCAAATTTTACTACTTTAAAGCGTTAATAAATGATAGCACTATTGAAGCAATATGCAATAAAATATAATGAGGGCACCTTAAATCAAGTATAGACAGGAGATTGGAGTTACTCCAACCTTAATTTATAATTTTTTTTTTTGCGCTGAAGTCTGCCGGACATTTGTTGACATTTTCCTTCAATGTCGCGAAATTTTTTTCCTGCAATCCGACGTTATAAAAATGTCTGCAATCCTATCAACTTTACGCGGTGTTATGCTCCCAGGGATTTACATTGCATTCAGATTGGAAATCAATCATTTTCTATATCCCCTTTAAAATTTTCCAAAAAGTTTTGGTGGCAAGTTACACAATGGCGTTGCAAGTAATATTTCCTCATTCGTTTAATAATTACAAAGCACAACATACACAACGCTTTGCACTCACAATTTTTACAAAAATGATCTCGCGCTTCCACACTTTAATGAACGCCATGTGTTTTTTTTTTCAATAGATTTCGTGTATGTATACGAATATTAAATAAATTTTTAGTATATATTTTTTTCCTACTGACATATTTTTTTTTTTTTTTTTAAATCTATTTTTGTTTGTGTAAATTTGTAATACTTTACTGGTGTGCCTGAGCTCCATATGGGAGGGCATACGGGAGGGCGAGAATAATTTTTTAAAGTTAAAACTTCTTTAGCGGCGGAGATGATTTGAAACTCGATGAAACGAAAAACGTGCTTGAAAGCTGGAAGGGGACCCTGCTGTGCGTGGAACGGGGAGATGACATCCCGCCCATGCACAATATGACCATCTTCCTGCCGAGAAGTGCTGACAAATCGTCAAACTACGCGTTGGGGTTGCTAAGGGCGGAAAACGGTGATCTCAACACCCCAGCGTGACGCGTCATCTCGAGTAGCATAGAGGACACCGGCTGCGTTTAAACGTTGGTATCGATGAGGACTCATTCAGCAATGTCCGAAGGGCGGGCTACAAGCTAAACTACAGGTTCAGTTTTGTTATCATGCGGCCCTGGCGACCAAAGGCTGGGGAAGACGAAGATGAATAAACAACCAACCAATTCGGGGACTACGTGCTGCTAACACAACAACAACAACAACCAAAGGCTGCGGAAGAGGAGGGAGGCGAGGACAGAAAATAGCCAACAAACATGTTAAAAACTGAAATAAGTACAGCAAAGAAATTACCTTTATACGCACGTTCGCCTGTCAGGCGTTAAGAGAGCGTGGAACTCAAGGCGCGCAAGGCCACTGTACAATATGCGCCAGCTAACAACCTCGAACAGCGCTAAACTGAGTTGGCGTGAAAGCTTACTTTGATTATTAAAATCGTTCCTGAAATATCGCGAAAAAACCGAGTTCTGCCTCACAGGCGAACGTTAGTTTTCTAGGGTTAAAACTTTCGTGGACCTGGAAGTGATCGCGTCCACATGATTCTTCCATAAAAGTTTGGTGTCTAGGATTAGTCCTAGATTGTTGTTGTTGTTGTTGTAGCAGCATACAAATTCCCCAAAGACTTTTTGGGGAGTGTTGCTGGAGTGACAGTCCTTGGCCAGATATAAATCTGGGTCGTTCCGGTTACGTAGACCCGACTGTCGTGGGAACGATTAGTCCTAGATACTTCACTTCGCTGGCGACGCTAACCACGACCCCCTCCAAGGTTATGTTCCTCATGCCCTTAGGCCCAATTTCAGATGGCCTACTTAAATTGTTGTTGTTGTAGCGGCTACAACAACCCCGCCCAGATCGGTTGGTATCTCAGTCGTTGTCGTCAAGTTCCACTAACGGCAACCCTAGGAAGCGTGCAGCTTCTGTGGGATCTGTCCACAGGGACAAGGCCGTTAAGGTTGTCGGGTTTTCCGGGCATGCGAAGAGATGGTTCGAGTCATGTGGGGTCTCTCCGCATGCCGGACATTCGTGCGGCACATCCTCATTCAGCCTACTCAAGTAGGAGTTTAACCTGCTGCAGTAGCCGGAGCGAAGTTGAGCGAGTGTAGTGCGTGTCTCCCGAGGCAGATGAAGCTCTGTCTCGTCAATGTCCGGGGGTGGTATGCCTAGAAATGCCGTTCAGGGCCTGTCTGTACGCTGTCGGGTCCAGAGGTTGCTTAATGAACCTCTGGACTTCGTCCGTCAGTTCATATAGATGCCTCCTGACGTGCCTAGGAGAGGGCTCCTCTACAAGCAGCTGTCTGTTTGGGTGGCCACTTCTGTGGTTCCCGATCAGGAACTGCTTGCAGAGCATTATGTTGTGCTCCTTAACTGGGAGCATTTGCGCCTCGCCGTGCAAGTGGTGTTCTGGCGACATCAGGAGGCATCCCGTCGCTGTCCTAAGTGCCGTATTTTGTACCGTCTGTAGCTTCGTCCACTGCGTCCTACTAGTCCCTGGCGACCACACTGGCGCTGCGTAGTTCAAAACCGGCCGGCCTATTGCCTTGTATGTTGCCAGCACTGTTTCTTTGTCTTTGCCCCAAGTACTGCCGGCTAGCGACTTGAGGACCTTGTTGCGGCTCTGTACTTTATTGACAATAGCGGTTGAGTGCGCAGATAATTTGCCGACCACCGTTTGAGCCTCTGTGGGAGAGAGGAGGCCTCTATATCTTCTAGCAGCGTGGAATGGCAGACGGTGTCAAACGCCTTTGACAAGTCCAACGCTACTAGAATCGTTCTCTCACAGGGACGGTTGCGGTTAAGGCCACGAGTTATCTGAGTGTTTATGGCGTTAAGTGCTGTTGTTGTACTGTGCACTTTACGGAAACCATGCTGATGCTTCGCTGGGGTCAGGTGGTTTGTGAAGTACGGGAGTAGCAAGGCCTCGAGTGTCTTTGCTAACGGGGAAAGGAGTGTAATCGGACGATACGAATCTCCTTTGTTGGCGGGTTTCCCCGGTTTGAGCAGTGGGACCACTCTCCCCACCTTCCAGATGTCTGGGATGATGAGAGTGGCCATTGACAGGTTGAGGACCGCCGTTAGGTACGCTACCCCCGCAGGACCCAAATTTTTCAGCATCAGCATGCATATTCCGTCGGGACCCATGGCTTTGGAGGCTTTCGCCTTCCCGATGGCCACCTGAACTTCACCGCAAGTGAAAGCAAGGGGGGCACAATTTGTTGGCAGTTTGTGCAGCCTTCTGGTCACTCGACGCTTGGCTTTGTCTACCGGAGGATGCAGTATGAACTGCCGGCTAAAATAGCTCGCGCATCGCTCCGGGTCCGACGAAGCATGGTCGCCGAAGGAAATTTCGACTCTGTCGTCGTGCTTCGTCGGATTAGACAATGACCTCACGGTTGACCAAAGCTTGCTCACACCAGAGGTGAAATTACAAGTCTTCAGGTGCTCCTCCCACTTCTTCCGCTTATGTACGTTTACAAGTTGCCGAATCTCCGCGTTGAGATCCCTGATACGGGGATCTCCGGGATCGGCCTGACGAAGGCTATCACGCTCATCAGCTAGAACAGCCGCTTCGGCAGGGAAGTTTGCCCGTGGGTCCGATATACGTCCTGCCGGTATGAAGCGAGCTGCAGCAGCAGAGATAGCCCTGCGGAACTTACGTTCACCGAGATGGACGTCGGTTGGTGTGTGGAGCGCTGCGAATGTGTTTTCAGTAAACTCCGCGTAACCTTTCCAATCAGCTTTGGAAAAGTTGATATAGGTCTGGTGTTTGGCGGAGGCAAAGTCGGTTGGTTTATCAATCGAGATGACTATGGATAGATGGTCTGATGCTAGAGTCAGCATAGGTCGCCACGTTATGCTGTTTATCAGACCAGCGCTGACTATTGTGATGTCTGGCGAGCTACTGCAGTTACCCATAATCCTGGTGGGTACGTCGTCGTTCATTGTGCAGAATGTCGAATCGTCTATCTGCTCAGCCAAGTCTGTTCCCCTACGATCGTTTGACAGGCTTGAGTGCCAAAGATCGTGGTGTGGGTGGTGGTGCAGTTGTGTGTGTTATGTGGTGTGGGTGGTGGTGCAGTTGTGTGTGTTATGTGGTCTGTGGTGGCTATGGTACGGTCTGTGGTGTTATTTTGTTGTTGTGTAGTGGCGACTGTGTGTGGTTGCTGTGTGAGTGTGTGGGGCTGCACGGGCGGACTATCGTTTGCCGTGGAGGCTGCTCTGTTTGAGCAACAGGGGGCCACGTAAGACGTGGTCCACTGTCTGTGTGTCCGTAGTCCCGAGCAGACCCTGAGGTGACTCCACCCCTCGCAGGCATTACACTTGACTGAGGTGGAGTTGTGGTGTAATCGTCTTCGGCATACACAGCAGGTGTATATTTCTGGCCCAGGGTTTGACTCGATGCCAGCCCTGAGTAGGAGAATGCGTAGTGAATGTTGCCCTATGGACGGACAACTTCTAAGATACTTCGCCGACCTAAACTGGGTTAGATCGCCGAAACAACAGCCCTTGGTCGGGTGAAACCCGAGTCATTCCGGTACGTAGAACCGGCTGTCGTGGGAACGACCCCCTCCAAGGTTATGTTCCTCATGCCCTTAGGCCCAATTTCAGATGGCCTACTTAAGTAGAGATTGTTGGTTAACTTCCACTATTCATTTTCAGATCATACATTTAATCTGCAATTAAATGGCCAATATTGGCTAAATGGCATTTAAACAGCAATCCACAATTAAACTTAAATGCCGTTTAAATATTCATTTCAAAACGGCCCTTAATGCAGAAATGGAGTTTCATTTAGGTGACGAACTTTTGTATGTATAAATGTACATTTAGTCGCATTTAGAGCTAAATGTGCTTTTACGCTCAAGCAAAAACAGCACATTAATCTATTCGAATTATTTTTCTATTGACTACAAATTAAGCTTACTGAAACAATGGTTGAAGTATTCCCGAGTTTAGTAGGTAGTCACGACAACTTGGCGAATCACCAGCTATATTTCCAAGAGCCCAAACTGCTTGTTCTTGAACATCGTCATTATTACTCGATAATAGATCAATGAAAACGGGAACGGCGCCCGCATCAATTACAATTTTAGTTTGCTGTGACGTCCCTGAGGCAATATTAGTCAATGTCCAAGCAGCTTCGAACTAAAAAAGAGAAAATTACTTTTGAACACTTGTATACAATTGGAACCAGATAAATCTGCAGTTGTTGCTTGTATTTATTAAGATTATTTAAAAATATAAATTACTTGCAACGATGCGTTTGAATTATTCTTGAGAAAGAATACAAATCGAGGAACTATCCCTTTTTGGATGACTTCTTCTATCGGCGGATTTGGATCACGAGATAAAAGCTTACGGAACTTTTGAGTGGCTTCTAGTTGCTCTGCTTCATTCTCACTAAACAATAGTTCTATCATCTGTTTTTTTATAATGATATTAATCGCCGGCTTATTTTGATCGGAAAGTGTCCTCGAAATTGTTAGTTGATTTTTGTGATTGATTTGTTCTTCCGAAAAGTGGTCGGAAATGCGATTCACTTCAATCTCCTTTGAAAAAAAAAGGTAAATTCTGAAGGTTTTTATATAAATAGGAAAAATTACTTCAGCTCCAATATCCAAACCAGATTGGGGTATATCCAAAACAACATTGCGTCTTTTTATTAATTGTTGTTCTCGTTTCTGTTTTCTGATTTGGACTCCTTCCTCTTCACGTCTTCGGCGCATTTCAGACGAATCCAATGCAGCATTTTTATAACGTTGTCTATGTGTAGTTGACATAATGCTAACACAATGTATAATATTTAACTAACTGATATCACCGAAAGTTTTGTAGAAATTGAGAATGATTCTGATTATAATTACCAAATTAGAAGTGGCACTATCGATACAATTATTGGTTTTCTTTTTTTCACTATCGATAGTTTTCCAAAAATATCGAGTATTTTCACTATCGAAACTTTTCCTAATTCAAAACAAAAAATTGTGAATGTGCAATGGATAAAGCGGCAATACTTTTATAAAAAAGATATATGGCAACTATGTTGGGCATACATCAAGATAACCAACCGTTCAGATATACCGGCTCGGGCCAGTAGTATACGGAGCAGACTTTCCGGTGGGTCATGCTCCCATTGCAAAAAAAAATTGGGGGCTTGCTGCTGTGGTGGTGGTCCTTGATCGGAGTTATTGCGGCGGGACTCGCAGACGAGCGTGGTCGAATCTGCCATTCTAATCCAGGGGATCCCGTATAAGAGATCTCAGTTAGACCATTAGAAACCTGGGCATGAATCACGTAACTTTGAAACGATAGTCGTTCAAACGATACTGACAAAACGATGTTGTCAAAACACTGATTTATGCATTTGTGTTGCTGTTACGTAGAACGTGTTGCGTTCAACTCAGGCAGGGTTGCACGAAAAAAAAGATGAATGGATAAATGTTGGCTGGCGACCAACTTTGTTGAAAGCGATTAGTTGAAAGGCCGTTCAACCAAAAGTAGAATGCAAAGTTCAACAATGCAAAAGCGAATATATTGATAATTTTTTATTTATTTATTTATTTATTTGTTACAGTCTTGCGACTTAAAAGTACAGATAGGTATTTTTAATATATAACAAAGTATGCGTATATGTAAGTTTAAATTTTCAATTACAAAGCTGTTTATGTTTCTAAAACTATCAAATAACCTATATAAATGTATACTGTCTAACTAGTTTGGTAGCTGGCGAGGCCTAGTCTCCAGTCTACCTTTAAATATGTACTATGTGCAGCAGGCGGAAAGACCTTGTTTCCGCTCCGCGTTGCTTACGAGTTGATAGTCACGGTCGAAAAGGCCGAGTCTCCGATCCATGTTCCCGTCGTCATTAATATGCAAACCCTGACGCTGGATTCCGTGATGTGAGGCGGGCGGAAAGGTCTAGTTTCCGCTCCGCGTTATGGTCGGGCTGTTGGGCATAGTCGGAAGCTTTCGTATGCTAGATCATTTGCTGCTTGGTCGGATGGAAAGGCCTGGTTTCCATTCCGTTCCGTGCTCTCCTACCTAATAGCCAGAGTTTTACAGTGATCAAATAGTTGTCTTTTAAAAGCAACAAAGTTATCACAGTCTTTTACATGTGGCGGTAACTCATTAAAACACTTTAAACCTTTATAAAATATATTTTTTTTGTCTACCTCTGTTCTATAAAGTGGGAGTCTAAAGCAATTGTTTTCCCTGAGTATATATGAATGAGTTTCATTTATATACCGAAGATTGTCGCTCAGATAGTCTGGAAGTTTACCGTTCTTTATGTTGTATACGAATTTCATAGCATGATAGAAAACCTGTTGCTTAACACTCAACCAATTCATATCTGTGATCATCTCCTGTGTAGGTGTATCGTAACGCTTATTTAATATGAACCTCATAGCTCTATTTTGCATTTTTTGCAATTTCTCGATATTTGCGTCGCTTGCTAAGAAGAAGATTGTTGGGCAATATATAAAATGTGGTTCTACTATAGATCTATAGACCAGGGTTTTATACCTTCTTCTCAGATACTTACAAGATCTTTTCATAAGACCAATTTTTTTTTCGCAATTTTGTTCACTGTATGCTCAACATGCTCATCAAATTTAAGTTTATTATCTATATATATACCCAAGTACTTAATGAGTTTAACTTCCTCAATTTCTTCCTCTTTGATTTTTAAATTGTAACTGGTGGTTCCAAGATTAACTGCTCTAGTGAGGATCATGAACTGTGTCTTTTTTACATTCAACTTAAGTTTATTTAAACACAACCATTTGTACAAAGAATCCAAGTCTTCTTGCATTTTAGTCATCGCAGTCTGTAAGTTTCTGTCACTGATCGTTAACAGTGTATCATCAGCGAACAGTTTTAACTTACAGTGCTTGAGTGCCATATTTATGTCGTTAATGTGAATATTAAAAAGTACTGGGGCCAATACCGATCCCTGCGGCAACCCAATACTGACTGCCACTTTATTTGACACACTTGACTCGATTACAGTTTGTTGCATACGATCTGAGAGAAAGCTTCGAAACCAGTTAAGCTCCGTGTTTTCAATACCTATGCATTCGAGCTTTTTCAACATTCTTGCCCTGTCAATGGTCTCGAAAGCTCTTTTGAGATCAATAAAAACCGCAACGATATTCATCTTCGAGTTAAGGTCTTCCTTCCACTGGGATATAACAAAATTTAGCGCAGTCTCGCAAAAGTGTTTAGCTCTAAAACCTGATTGCTCCTTAATGAGTATGTTATTACTTTCAATGTGGCGCGCCAACTGATTTTTTACCACATTTTCCAAGATTTTTTCCATGCTAGGCAGTGTATTAATTGGTCTAATTTCCTCAGCTTTTACAGTTTTTTTCACTTTTTTTACCGGAACTATGGTCGAGATTTTCCATTCTTTTGGTACTGTTCCTGATTCAAGACTCCTATTTATTAATAAGGCATAAAAGTGTCCCATGTATTCAACTGAATCCTTTATTTTAGTCTTAAATTTCTTCACTATAAGGATAACATCCTCTGAGGTAATTTTCTCAAATTTAAAGGTGCCTCGACTGTCTTCCTGTCGTAACTGTTCACAATTTACGTTCTCTATATTACTATTTATGTCGACGATACTATCCACAAAGTACTTGTTTAGTTCTTCGGCGATTACCATACTATTTCTCTATATTTTTCCGTTGATGAGAACTTCTTTGATATTGTCTCTGTTACCCGTATTATTAAGAATATTCTTTAAATATTTCCACATTAAACGACTACCACCTCTATTATTTTCTACCTTGTGTTCCATATACTGAATTTTCTTAATTTTGCTCATTTTCTTATACTCTTTCTTTATTTTGTTGTAATCTACCCAATCACCTGTGAGTACTGCCCTTTGGTGTAACCTAAACTTTTCTTTATTAGTGTCAGTCAGTTGTATATCATACCATTTATTTCTAAGTTTAACCCGCCTTTGTACCCGAGAAGTTAGTTGATTCATACTCGAAATCAAACAAAGGTTGATATGTTCGAGCATATCATCAATATTGAAACTATTCAGGTTTGCAAAGTGGCATTGTCTCAAAAGATTTATGAGGTTGTCTGGGCTGTACTCAGCCCAAGAAATTAATTCAGAGAGTGTATTGATTTCGCCTTGTTTTTTTATATTGCATTTGAACATTATGGTTTCATGATCCGTTATTCTATGTTCCTCAGCTTTTTCACATGAAACTTCATTAGTGTTAGAGTATAACAAGTCGATGCGCGTTTCGGACTGTGCAGTAACCCTGGTATCAAAGTTGATTAACTGTTTCATTGCCTGCTGAGAGAATATCTCATTAAGTTTCCTACTATATGTCGATGATATATTCATATTTATATTAAAATCCCCAATAATAATGGTATTTACCATGTTAGCGCATGTTTCGGACAAAATGGCTTCCATATATGTCAGAAAATCTGCATCACTCGAACTGGGTGAGTGATAGACTACCCCGATTTTCCATTTGGTTTCAAAATTTCTCAATGGTACCACTATACACCAGACATTTTTATCAGTAGATCTATTTATTATTATTTTAAAGTCTATTGTGTCTCTCAAAATTACAATTACCCCGCCAGTGTGTCTACTATACGAGTCGCATCTAATAAACTGATAAGTTGGAAACTTGATTTCGGAGTCGTTTATTTCCTCTCTTGTACATGTTTCGGAGCATAAAACTATATCCGGATCAACAGTCTCAAGAAGCCTTTCAAGCTCGGCTTTATTGGCTATTATAATATTTATATTAAGATACACGCATTTTAAGTAACTGTTACGCTTTTCCATTACACCTAATTGCTAACATCCTACTCTTTGTTTCTCTAGTTTCAGTTTCCTAATATAGACAGGACATTCACGACTAAATGCGTTGTGCGCTACATCCAGGTTTATCCCTAACTCTTTAACAGCATCACAACAATTTCCACAAACTTCTTTTTGGCTACTGTCAGTGCAACTTTCAGACTTGTGCTCTCCCATGCATTTGCTACACCTAAGCTTTTTGTTACAGCTGTTAGAGCTATGGTTGAAGCCCAGACACTTGTAGCATCTTCTCACGGTTTGCCCATCATAGACGGGGCATCGATCCCACGCAATATTAAGTCTCTTTGACTCCAATACCTGCAGGAAGAATTTGTGCTCGATTTCTATTATTGCACTGAATGAAGGAAATGCCTCACCACTGCGCCTGGACTTAAATATTTTTACACATTTCAAACTCGCATCATTTAAATAGCTATTCTGAGCTTTTATCTTATTTATTATCTCCGTCTCAGAATATTCAGCGTTTATGTGCGCTAACAAAATTTTAGGCGTATTAACTTTGGGTTCGGTGATGTCGTACACTTCTTTATTTAAGTTATCTGCTAGAGCAGATTTTATTCTGTCCTTATCTGAAACGCTATTTGCGTTTATAACCACCGCCCCGTTATTCTTATTTGACACTCTATCAATTCTCATATCAGATGCATCGATCTTATTAAGGTCCACCCTAGTCTTCTCAGCCGCTTGTTTGTTTTTCGGCATGGCAATTATAGGAGGAATACCTTTCAATGCTTTGGCATACGATACACCCACACCACTTTGTGCTTTCTCTTGGCTTATAGTTTTTGTTTGCATAGCTCACTAGTGGATGAATCTACCCTATCCATTTTCTCTTTGTTTACTTTACACAGCCCTTCAACTCTTTTTATTGCATCAAGTTTTTCTTGGTTTGCCTTCTTTATACTATCAACTAACATTTTTACCTCTTTGCTGTGACTTTTTAACATTTTTTCAATATCTGTCTTTTGTTCTATTATATTCATCTTGTTGGCCTCAGCTATACCTATCATTTCTCTAAGAGCTTCATCCACATTGGCTATGTACAT